TAACATTTTTTAATAGTCTACGATGATTACAATGTAGTCTATGTTCAAAATCTTTCTCTATCATTAGCAATGTATATATACATTGTAAACGCAACTACTCAAATTCGGATACGAAAATAATAACAAAAGATGAGACTATAAATATAATCAACATTTAAACACAAGATCCCGAAGTTTGTAAAGTAGGGGACTGGTTAGAAATCAACATGAATAAAGCCAAAGTTCTAGAAAGTTGTCTAAAATTTCAACTATAAAAGTTTTTTTTTTAAATCTTTAATAGTTAAACATATTGATGATTATACACTTAGGTAGTGTTTGGTTTAAGGATTGTGGGATTCCCGAAGGATGGGAATCCCACATTCCCATGTTTAGTTGGCCGGGAATCTCATTCCCGGTAATGTTTTATTACCAATAGTAGATTTTTTTGGATATATTACTGGGAATGTCATTACCTCCCTTCCCTTAGGTATTGTAACATTACCGGCGTTTTGGACTAAAATGCCCTTAAATTTTTATTTTTTTTCAAAAATATCCTTCTTCTGTCGTTGAATAATAAAAATTCTACGAATGTTAAATTACAAATTTATCCTTAAATTATTTTAGATTTACAAAAAAAAATCTATAATTAAAATTTTATATAAAGTTCAGGGGTTAAATTTTTTTTACCCTTTCATTAAACCTTTTTTATATTTTTAATTTTATAAAAAAAAATTATATAAATATTATGAATTTAATTTTTTAAAGAAAATATATAAATATTTTACAATTTGTAATATTATACAAATATATAATAAGGACAATTTGGCTAAATATACATTCTAATAATCTTTTATTCCTTTAACCAAACACGGTAATCTTACATTCCTGCTAAACCAACCAAACACAAAATACAACATTCCCAGTAATCATATTCCCTGATAATCTTTTATTCCCACTGGTAATCTTACATTTCGTGAACCAAACGCACCCTTATAGGATCCTCATTTATAGATAAAGGAAAAAGTATTTTCTTATCTTTTAGAACCTAGTCTTCGTTTTCATAATTTCATTCAATATCCCTTCCTTCTATGAGATTTCAATGTGATTTTATATTTTTTAGTACAAAAACTTTAGGTCGAGGGAGGCTCCCCTAATCCAAGGCCAGGACATACCTAAGATCCAATTGAGATTTACATAAAAATTTACAGATTAACCATCAAGAATGACGGTGGTAAGATTCGAACTTGACCTTACAAATTCAAATTTTTTAATCCTAACAACTTGTATCAACTCTAGTTGGCCTTACAATCTCAAATATATGACATTGTTTTTTCATTTAAAAAAAAAACTCAAACCCTTAATTTTAAGGATATTGGACTTCTTACTTGTATTGATAATTTTTTAGGGTGTACGTGTATGATTATAAAATATTCTATTGGCTATTAATTGATTTAACGAGATAAAGTATTAGATATTTAAGTAAGATTAGAGATTTAAATTTTGAATATTCTATAATGTATTCATGTGATAAATGAATTATTGTTATTTCTGAAATCTCGGGTTCGAGCACTATAGATGCTAAGAATGTGAATGTTCAATATTAAAAGATTGAGAGTTATTTTCGAACATATGACGCATTTCCAAATTATTTAAAAGAACAAAAGCCATAAAGAAAGTTCCTAAATTATTTCAATTGTTCCCTTATTTTGGGCAAACTTCATGCAAGCAAAAGACAAAGGACTCACATATTGCATTTAGTCAAAGTCAAATTTCACAAGTAATGACGTGGCAAAACTTCACTGGCTAGTACAATTTGTGTATGACATTATTTTGGCTTTGTTGTTTTGGTGTTCCACATTTGAATAGAAATATGCACCTATGTAAGTAATGGATGAAAAATATAATAACAAATTTAATCCCAATACTTCTATCACATTTTATTTTGATCCTTTTAGCTATATTTGACATACAGTTTTGTTTTTCTTTTTAAAAGTAAATTTTGATCTTAATATTTTTCACAAAGAATGAAATTAGGTTCAAACAAAAATACTAACTACAATGTTAAAGTTCAAACACTATCAACATGACAATTTGCATAATGGTTTATATATATTTTATATTTTAAAATTTACAATTTTAATAAATACCTTAAATGAAATACACGTAGAGTATAGGACTGTAAATGAGATGAGACAGATCGTGAATTATGCGAGATCGACTCGGTCAAAGCTCGATAAATACTCTACTCGAATGGACTCGACTCGAGTTCTTCATGAGTCGAAATAAGCTACTTGATACTTGACTCGAAAAATTCACGAGCAACTAAAAATATAATATATTAAAATTTTATTTTAAAAAAAATAAATTATTAATATTATTAACATTTATGTGTTTATTTTTTAAACAAGTACAATATAAGGTTTTATTGTATTTAAAATTTGGGTTTTAGTTTGAGCTTCAATCAAATTAAGTGTAAGTTTTTTTTTTCATGTTGAGTTGTTACGATCTTTAATTCATGGTTTTGAGTTCGAGTCGGCCTTAAAAATTTTAGACTTGTGAGTTTTCAAATTAAATCGAGCTATATTTAGAGTTTTTGAGTCGAGCTCTGTTTTCGAGTCAAGTCGAGTTCAACAATAAAGCTTGACTTGACTCGTGTACAACCCTAGTGGACTATCTCATGAGCCATCAAATTAACATGGTTAGAAATTTAAGTGTCAAATTTAATTTAAAAAGAATAGAAACAATTTATTAAAGGGTAAATTACACTTTTAGTATCTAAACTATTAATTTTAGTCCATTTAGTTCTTAAGCTTTCATTTCTTTTTAAAATTATACCTAACATTTAGTTTTAATTTCATTTCAGTATCTTACCGTTAAAAACTTAACACGTTTAGTACATAAACTATCAATTTGATCAATTTTAGTACCTAAACTTCTATTTTTTTTTCAAAACTTAAGTTAAGTTTTTAGCTAGAGTACTAAAATGAAACAAAACTATACGGTTGGCATAGTACTGAAAATGAATCAAAATTGATAGTTTGGGCACTATACACATAATTTAGCCTTTATTAAAATATATAAATTTAAAGAGTCAATTTTGTCATCATACCATGGCGAATGTGGGTCTCACATTACACAAGCAATGCACTAGAATAATAGAAGTGGGTCCTAAAACTAGGACGGACGGGTCCCTTCGGACATTATGGGACAGTCGACAAAGGCCGTATTATGTGTGTGTATTGTGTGAAACCGAGTCAAACAACATGAAACAGGGTGTAAGCAAGAGGTTAAAAAATAGCGTACCCATCATCAAACACCAATCTTTCTTTGTTTTTTTCCCATGTGATCGTGAATGGTGGGCGGTGCCCGTCGCCGTGGGTTCAACTTTGAACCTTTGTGCTTTTTGACCTTCATACTTCAACCTTACACTTACTAGGGTAAAGTATTCCGATGATCTCTGACTATATAATATTGATTTATTAAACTTTCGATTATTAAAATTTATAAATAGTCATCTGATTATAGAGTATTGTTTTGTTGAGTCTCTCAACTATTAAAAGTTACAAAATAGTTACAAAATGATCACTCGACTATTCATTATGTTTCAAACTCGTCATTTTCTGTTATGAATGATATTTTGAACTGAACGTTAACATGTTAATTGTGATGTGATAAAATATGATCTTAGGATTTCAAATAATTATCATATCTTAGTCCTCACGTGGACGTCCAACTTAAACAACCACAAATTTTTAACGAAAAATGACGAGTTTATAACATAATGAATATGTGTGCTTAATGAGTTGAGCAGCTCGAACTCGACTCGGTCAAAATTCGATAAAAACTCGACTCGGTTTAACTCGACTCGAACTCGAGTCGATACCTTAACGAGTTAAGTCGAGCAAAGTCCAACTCGACTCGATAAGTTCGTGAGCATCTCATTAATTTTTTAAGACATTAATTTTTTTTAATAGTTATCTTAAAAATTATTTTATTAAAAAATTACTAATTTACTAATAAATAATAAAAAAGATAATAAATTACTAATCTATTAATTTTCTAATAAACAACGAAAATAATAAATTATTAATTAATATTTTACTACACTAAAAAATCAAACTCTATTTATTATTTTAATATATATGTGGATTGTTTCTTTGGAATTTAGATTTTAAAAATGCTTCATATACTCTTTTGATATTTTTTTTGGTTAAATTTATTAATTTATGTTTATATTAAGCTATGTATAGTGTATTAGTAGATTTTACCTATAGTTAAGAAAATAAGGTAAAAATTTTAGCGAGCTTAACGAGCAATTAGACAAGCAACGAACATCGAGCTTAACGAGCAACGAAGCGAACAACGAGTATCGAGATTAACAAGCAACGAGTCGAGTAATAATTTTTTTTAACGAGTATGAGTCGAGCACAACCTAACTCGCAATCGACTCGCTCGAAAAGCACCCCTAATAATGAATAGTCAAGCGACTATTTTATAACTTTTAATAATCAATGGACTTAACAAAATAACATTCTATAATTGAATGAAAATTTTATAACTTTTAATTGTACTTTCCGAATAAAAATTGGGTGAAACTTGTTTTTTGTTATATATTTTTAGATTAACCTAAAGCTTATTAAATGCATACTTTTAATTCAAAACCAAACCCCCTTATTTACGGCCAACATTATCGAAAATTATATATCTACCTTGTCTCGTCCTTACACAACATTCTAAGTTACTAACCTAGTGTTTCATCTGAGTAGATCAATTATAATATCATACGAAGCTATTTAAATTAATTGCATATAATGACACAATAAATACATTAAAATAGTCACGTAGTGGAGAAAGTTTTAGCTTCGGGTTTTAGCTATTTAAACGATAAGACCAATATTGGAAATGAAAGGAAATAAAAAAGAAAAAGAAAGATGCACCCATCTAGGTTTTAGCTTCGGGTTCAGGTTCGGTTGTGGACTTTATTTAGATAAGAACCACATCTCCCCCTTCTCTGTTTCCATTCTTCTTCCTCTCTAACTCCAAATCCCTCGCTCAAACACACACACACAAAAACAGAGCATACTGAGTTTTCTTTTCAACTTGTTCAAGCTGGCGATCGAAAACAATGAAACCACTGTCCGTGAAATCAAACCCAAGAGCAGAAGAATTATGGTAATTTCACATTCTTAAAAAAAATCCATTTTTTTCTCGTTGGAATGGTGTTTAATGGCTTTTGGTTTTCGTTCGATAGGGAGCCGGTGGTCCTGACGAAGAAGACAACAGGTGGCCGCCATGGTTGAAACCTTTGTTGAGAGAACAATTCTTCGTTCAGTGCAAGCACCATGTTGATTTTCACAAGAGTGAATGCAATATGTTCTGCTTGGATTGCATTAACGGCGCCCTCTGCTCCCTCTGCTTAGCTTATCACAAGGATCATCGTTGTATTCAGGTTCGGCAATCTCTCTTCAAATTTCTGGGTTTTTTTTCCTCACGTTTTCACACATTTTCTCGGCACCCAAACACGCGATTGACTTGAATGTTTCGACAGATAAGGCGATCCTCGTACCACGATGTAATAAGAGTATCCGAGATACAGAAGTATCTAGACATATCTGGAGTTCAAACATATATAATCAACAGTGCCAAGATCGTCTTCTTGAACGAGAGGCCACAGCCGAGGCTCGGGAAAGGCGTGACCAACACTTGCGAGGTCTGTGATCGTAGCCTCGTGGACTCCTTCCGGTTCTGTTCTCTCGGTTGCAAGGTACAATTTTCTCGGGTTCTGTTCGGTAGCCGAGAAAACGAAGATCATAATTTGAATGATTTTTTTTGGTTAATTATGCATGAGTGCAGATTGTTGGAACATCAAAGAGTTTCCGTAAGAAGAAGAGGCAGTTGCACATGGGCATGGCATTAGACTCCGAGGATTCATACAGCAGCAGTAGTAGCAGCCATGGAAAGCCGAGAAACTTTAGTCCGTCGACGCCGCCTCCGACTTCCGTTAATCATCGGACTCCGAAACGGAGAAAGGGGATTCCCCACCGAGCTCCCATGGGAGGACTAATCCTAGAATTTTAGGCAAATCCGTAAAGATAAATGTTTACAATTAGTCGTAGTTCAGTTAGTGTTACACGTTTAAGAGTGTAATATTACGTCAATGTGAATGTCGAATTTTTTTCCAAAAAAATCCCACATTGACACAATATATATACTATTGGGTATATTATATAATATATGTATAGGGGCAGCAAAACATAAAAGTGAAAAATAATAATAATAAGTTGCTTAGAATGCTTAGTTTTTAAAAGATAAATTAGGGTCTATATTTCGGGGTTTAGGGCAAGACTAGGAGCAGTTGAAACATGAAGAAAATAACATCTGGTCCTCTCCAAGGGTATGTTAGTATTTTTGCCTATATGAATTTTGTATCCAAACATAAAGAATCCATGTAGAATTTCAGTTTTTTTTTGGTCCATTATCTAAATTTTATTAAGAATCGAGTCAAATGAAACTGAACTAATTATTCAACTCATTATTATAAGGGTGAAGAATACAAATTGTCCTTCGACTATAAGTATTGTTTTGTTGAGTTACTCGACTATCTAAAGTTATAAAATAGTCCTTCGACTATAAGATGTTGATTTTTGAGTCCTCTGACTATTACAAGTTACAAAATAGTCATTTGACTATAAGATATTGATTGTTGAGTCCTCTGACTATTACAAGTTACAAAATTATCATCCGACTATTCATTATATTCCAAATTCATTATTTTCATTAAAAAATTGACGACACTCTAAGCTTAATGTTAATTTACTGACTGACATATGATAAAATATGATCTCAGAATCTCAAACGACTATCATATATAAGGCAACAGACTAATATCCAGCTCAGAGTGTCATTAATTTTTTAACGAAAAATGATGAGTTTGGAACATAATGAATAGTCAGGTAACTATTTTGTAACTTTTGATAGTCGAGGGACACAACAAAGTAACATCCTATGGCCGAGGGACCATTTTGTAACTTTTAATAGTCAAGGGACACATTAAAGAAGTGTCTTATAGTTGGGGATCTTTTGTGTACGTTACCCTTATTAAAATTAGTGATTAAAAATGAATAATATCAAAACAAACATGACCATTTTAATAAGTAATCCTAATTTTCATTAACATTTATAAAGTAGTTTCACACGTATTATTACATCACACATAGGGATGGCAACTCAACCCGAATCCGACGGGTTCCGACCCGACCCGACCCGATCGGGTCGGATTTTTTTTAAAAAATTTCGGGTTCGGGTCGGGTGTTTTTTAAATGTACTGTTCGGGTCGGGTCGGGTTTAGGGTGAAAAAAACCCGACCCGACCCGACCCGAAAAATATATATAATTTTATCCTATATATTTAGGGATAATTACAATAATGTCCCTCCATATATAATTTTTTTCAATTAAGTCACTGTTTTCATTGAATAAAAATTTTATTATTATTATTTCGGGTCGGGTTGGGTCGGGTCGGGTTTCTAAGTCATATATTCGGGTCGGGTCGGGTCGGGTGAAACCTTAATTTCGTCGGGTCGGGTCGGGTCACGGGTAAAAAATCCTTTCTTCTTGGGTCAGGTCGGGTGGCCCAAAAACCCGACCCGACCCGACCCATTGCCGTCCCTGATCACACAAAATGCACGATGTATGGTATAATGGTGCCTTTTGATATTGCACCCTTAATTTGCCTTTTAGTGCAATAAAATACACACGAAATTGAGAGTTTTCGATAAGTGATTAGGGAGATGGACCCACCATACACCATTGTTGATAAAAATTGTCTAAGCCATGATGTCACTGAATTTAATAATCCTTATATAATATTTTAATATGATGCTTATTGGCTAGCCGATATGCATGAATCATTCTTTATCATTCGCGCACCATGACGATAAACATTTGGTAAAATGGTATTAGAGGTCATTGCATTTTTTGAAAAAAATCAAGTATTATTTTCTCTCTCAATGTGATCATCCAACTCAGAAAATAAACCCAATGTGTGGCCCTTTGACCAACGTTTTTCGCCGTTGACAGTTACAGTACTGACGTGCCAATTCACAGTGTTGACATAATGATCTACGGTGCTGATGTGACAGTCCATCTGTCATGTTTGAGTTACCGATTTAGTTGATCTACCATGTCATCCGCCACGTTAATCTGCCATACTGGACTGCCATGTTAACACCGTAAAGGTCAACGACGAAAAAACGTTGGACAAAGGGTGATGGTAGATTTATTTTCTGAGTTGGAGGGTCACAATGAAAGAAAAATAATACGAGGGTTCAATTAGCTTTTTTTTTAAGTATAGTGACATCAGATGTTTTTTTTACCTAAATGTTTTGTTCTTTTGGCATATCCCCATCGTGGGTCCTTTAGCACCGTATTCGTGCACATCGATTGGCTCATTAAATTAAAATTTGTAGCGTATTAGCCAACCTAAATGTAACCTAATTTTCTCAATATTATATACCCTCTACAATGATGTCATCTGTGATCAATGGCTTTGTTGGTGTGCAGCTAAATACACGTAGGGACGGAAAGTCGGAAATTGGATCAATGGTAGGATTTAGTAGGATCATATTATCTAATTTTAAAGTTAATAAAATATTAAGTAGAGATGATTAAAATAATTATATTTAATGAATTTTGACCTAATTCCATTAATTAATATTATTTTGGGTAAATTATACGTTTAGTACCTAAATTATCAGTTTTTATCCGTTTTAGTACCTAAACTTTCAATTTTTTCAAAACCATACTTAAAATTTAATTTTTGTTTCATTTTAGTACCCCATTCAAAATTTAATATTAAATTTTGATATTTTTTGAAAGTTTGGGTTCTAAAACGGACTAAAACTTGTAGTTTAAGTACTAAACGCGTTATGTTTTTAATGATGGAGTACTAAAATAAAATAAAAACTAAATGTTAAATATGATTTTGAAAAAAAAAGTTTAGGTACTAAAATAAACCAAAATTGATAGTTTAATACTAAATGCATAGTTTACCCTATTATTTAATGAATTTAAAAATAGACAATAAAGATTGAGATCAAAATAAAGTTAGATTTAGAATACAAAAATTTCTTCTCAATTTGACTCAATATTTATTATAATGCTTTTTTATATATTTAAACATAGTTGTTATATATATATATATATTGATTAATATGAAGTAAATACAAGGTAATATCCGTTTACAGATAAACTCTCAATTTTTCGACATTGAACGCTCACAGCCCTAACATTTATAGTGTTCGAATACAGATCCTTAAAGAATAACGGTAATTCTTTTACCACATAGACCATTTGGTTCGTGCTATATATATATATATATATATATATATATATATATATATATATATATTGTCTTATTTTATCGAATATAAATAAATATATATATTAGAATAGATTGGACATATTTTTATTTAAAATTCAAAATGGGTCGAAGTCGACTATGTTATTGGAGGTCTTCTACCCGAATTTAATATTTTCTTATTAGTTTGAGTGATTATAAATTAATATTTAATTGAAAGGCTATCAACCGTTCGAAAATAAATGTTCAAACGCCATCTAAATATTATATTCATACTCTAGAACTCTAAGAATAACAATTATTTCTTTAATCACTAAGGTTGAATATAGGAGGTCTTCGAACTTTTTTTTTTTTTGGAACGGTGGATGTTGGGCTTTCGGACTAGTTAAAATGTAAAGCAAACTAAAACGGGTGAGTATAGTTTTATAGGTTTTTTTGGTCTAATAGGCCATCCTGTATTTTTATTTAGCTCAATAGGGCACTTGTTATTTTATTTTGGAGGATACGTCAAAAATTATAATGATTCACAAACTCGTTATTTCGACGTGACAAATTTATTGAGATATATTATCTTAGTAGACCCAAATGAGTGGACTCCACGTGGGTCATTTATTTATTGAAATTAAAGCGACTTGTCACGATGAGCTCGTGAATTACTATAGCTTTTTTCCGTATTCTCAAAAAAAAAAATGGGTACCCTATTTGGCTAACAAAAATGCATGGGGGCCTGTTGGGCCAAAAAACCAGTTTTATATGTTAAGGCCTTTAGCTTGTTATCGAGTTTGTGAAGAAACAAGAAAAGCCCAAAGCCTCTTTCAAACCGATTTTGCGTGTGATGAAACGTGGAAGCCCAGATCTTCACTCGCTCCTCTAAATCTTATCAACAAAACAAAGCTGCAACCTTTGCTTCGCAGCCAACCAGCAGACTCAGAAAACAATGGCAGCTGTTGAAGCAGTAGCAGCACTTTCCTTTTCATGTTTCCCTTCTTCTTCTTCTTCTTCTTCGTCTAAGTTTCTCTTATTTGCCAAACCCACAACGCTCTCTTCTTTAACTTTCAGCATTCCCAAGCCCACTCCTTTGCTTTCTCGCAATATCTCCATTTCGCCTTTAATCGGCACCCAAAAGAAGAAAGGTTGTCTTCACTGCTCTACACTACAAGAGGTGGGTTTAGAAGCTGAAACAGATAAATCCCAGGAAGGAAATGCGAGGAGAAAGCTTTTTGTGTTGAATTTGCCTTGGTCTTACACCGTTGCTGATATCAAAGACCTCTTTGGCCGATGTGGGAATGTTAAAGATGTTGAGGTTATTTCCTTCTCTAATTATACTATCGGTTTCTCTTTCTGTCGATGAAAAGAATATAACTTTATGCCTTTTTTTCAGATTATAAAGCAAAAAGATGGGAGAAATAGGAACTTTGCTTTTGTGACAATGGCTTCTGGTGAAGAAGCTCAGGCTGCTGTTGATAAACTCGATTCTAATGTAAGTTTTATTTCAATTCTCCGAAATCTTAGCAATTTGGTCCTTTTACTTGCATGAAATCTTTTTGAGGTGGATATATGAATGTTTATCAGTTTTAAGATATTCAATCATGTCCTCGGAATTAACTAGGCCCTGTGTTGGATTGTTCAATGTTGGTTTGGAAGGTGAGGGTTACCCTCAATTTTACTTGAAATGCGGATTGGTTTGGTACAAGGAACGAAAACTAGAACGCAATAAGCTACTTCGATCAAACATAGTTCGACAAGGCTGGTCTTTTCCGGTTCATTTAGTATGAACTATATTCAAAAGTTTGTGAGTTGTTTGTTTTACTCAATAATTTTATTATAAACTGTATGCTAATGGGATCTTTTGTTCGACTAAATCGGATCACTAGCATTCCCTGATTCATATTATTCATGCCAGCTTGAAACTCGCAATGGAGATAACAATTTCTGGTAACAAAGGTTACCCTCCTTGAATGAGTTCATGATGGAGCAGAAGCTGAAATATAAAAAAGGATGAATACATTATCACCAAGAACAAAATAAGAGATTTGCTTTCTGTTAAATGTATCTCATTTTGCATAAGTTAAGTATGATTTATGGTGCAGGAGGTGTCGGGGAGAATTATTAGAGTAGAGTTCGCAAGGAGATTCAAGAGACCTGCACCACCTTCTCCACAGCCAACCGTTCCTGCTCGTGAGACACGTCATAAGCTTTTTGTGTCGAATCTTGCTTGGAAAGTTAGGTCGAGTCACCTGCGAGAGTTTTTCTCTCCCTTTAACCTAGTTTCAGCTAGGGTTGTTTTTGCTACCCCTACGGGACAGTCTTCCGGTTTTGGCTTCGTTTCCTTTGCCACAAAGGAGGAAGCTGATGCCGCACTTTCTACCCTAAATGAAAAGGTAATAGAATTTAAATCCATCTTTTTCACACTTTGCATCGTTTCACACAATTTTCTGCTCGTATTTGGAAAGAACCATCATAGACTATAATGTTGGGTAATGCATCGATATCAAGGCTTATGAAGATGGTTTGAGTATAACTCTTGCACGATGAATTTGTCTTGGACATAAGTTTGGTTTTCCTCTAAATATGAATTTTGCATTGTTGCCTTGCCGATGAATAATTTCTCTCCATAGGTTTCCTTATATCAGCTTGTCTGTAATCTTCGTTGAACTGAAACGGTTCGAACGAACTCATCCTTCTTCTTTGTTTTTCAGGAATTGATGGATCGGCCGATACGTTTAAAATTCAGCGAGAGGAAAGATGATGAGTCCGGAGGCGAAACGAAAGAGGAAAAGGAGGAGGCTGATGGCCAAAACGAAGAGTCTTAGAATCTTCAATTGGGCCTCATCTTTCCATCTTTCTCAGAACAGTGTACAAATGAGACTAGAGTCAGAAAGTTTTGTCACATGCCTATACAATTGGCCTTTCAAAATGGTCAAATAAAGGTCAAACCTTTCTGAATATGCTGAAATCAGAATATATAATTAATCGACCTATATTCGTATTAGGAGCATTATTCTTGTTATGATTACATATATGAGCACCCAATACTTTCTCAAGGTTTTTGTAGCTTGTATTGTCCAGAGTGGTGCTATATCAACTTCCCTCCTGCTCTGATAGAGTTCCCCGAAGATGATTCGGATTTCGGACCATAATTTCTCCCCTCTAATGATCATGATCGTTGGCATTCTAGCCTTTGTTTTTCCTCTAGTGAGTTACTCTAGGATCCTATATAAATATTGTGAGAGGTTAAATGTTGTTGCCTAAATTCGGCCGTGCTTTCCATGTCCATTGCATTGATGCATGGCTTAGTTCTCATTCAAATTGCCCTTTGTGCTGCGCTAATATAATCTCTGTTAGCACTTCGCTGCTGCGGTTGCCGCCTCCGGTGACTAAAATCCCTCCCAGCAAATGAACTTCCACGTGACCAAAACATAGCCATTGCAAATGATATAGTCAATGCTCAAGGAGAAAACACCCTGATATAGATTAGAGAAGGTGATCATCAACAGATGAGAAGATTAGTTTCCATGGATCATTTATGTCAAACCTAAATTTTGGTTGCCGACATTATGCTCATTGCTCATTGATCAAGAGGAAGAGTATCGGTTCTCATCAGGTATTGTTGGATCATCATCGGAACAATCCACTGAAGCCGGCTAAGCCCAACAATAGAACGAGGGTCTTGCACTGTGTAATGAACCATGTTGCAATGTAATACCACTTTCAAGTGGTCAATTCTTTCTTGCTAAGCAAGCAAGAGTAAGATACCCTCTTTTCTTCTGTAAAAATAAACCATTTTTGCATTTTTATCTGTTACCAGAGATAGCTTAGGTTAGCTCAAGTGAGAACTGCAAACCTCTTATGAAATCAAGAGATTTCTCGATGCTTTTTTTTCCCGAGCAGTCATCGCTTGCGTCCGCGTCATTGATTAGATCATAACAAACATGTCTAATCTGTTTGCAATTCGCTTCCATGTTCGATATAGTATAGCATGTATCATAGTTTTTGTTTGCGTTATTCAGGACTCGGTCCCATGACCTAATACAGATAGCGAAGCCTGCAACTTCATTCTTCATCTTCCACAACATAGAAAAACAAAGTTGAAACAATTAAATGGAAGACATTGATTTGAATTTCTATTGACTATACATGAGTAAATAAAAGAAAAAAAACAGTCAACTCAATCAAACATGGACTACTGGTTCCGGCTAAATCTTAATATCGGTTTTTCCGGTTCCGGCTAATAAACGATGAGAATTGAGAAAAGTTCACATTTTGATAGCAGTAAACTCTATGTAAGATAATGTCAAAAATGTGGTTTGTGGGAATAAAAGAAAACCCTATAAACTCAAACTTTATCGTCTCCTTGACATGTCTCCAATGTTTCACGAAAACGTTGATTCTTGTATTCGGAGGGGCTGGCAAAATCGCCGAATGCGATACAGCTTCTCGCGATCTTGTGTCCCCCTACAATTTTTGTTTTGATATGTTCAGGCAATCTCAAAGTATATCTATCCTCTTCTCTAGTCCTAGATATGGAGTGGCCGGTTGAATTCGATCTCGAAAATTTTGGGATCCTATGGTGCCGTTGTCTTGTATTTGAAGAAGTCGGAGCTCCATCCTCTCCCCCACCAACTGTGTCGCTGTTGTTATCTTCTCTAATGTCGATGCAAACACAATCTTGTAATGGACTTTGATTTGCTCTGATGTCGTGCATGGAATTGCTACGAACAATAAATGGGGATTTGTCTAATGACTGCCTCGGCTCGTCTAGCTCCCCACGACAAAACGGACAAGTCTTGTGCGACTCGAGCCATAGATCAACACATTCTTTGTGGAAAACATGGCAACAAATCGTTAGAAGTCGAAGCATATCATCGTCGTTGAACTCTCCTAAGCAAATAGCGCATTCTAGACCGTACTTTTCACGACGAAACTCTTTGACAGTTGAATAATAGAATGTAGGGAAAGCTTCAATTAGTTCAGGGTCAAGGCCTGTATTCATATCGGTGCCTGCGGCAGCATCGACAGAACCCGGAGGATTCTGCCGCCGACTCCACATTCTAACAAGGTTTTGCAGGAAGCACCTACAGAAGAATACCGTGAGAAAGGCAAAGGCAAACAAAATGAGCAAAACTACAGATATAATTATGGCCAATGGCGGGGCGGTGGTTGATGTGGAAGGTCCTTCGGCATGACTGTATAACGATGACATTGAATAAACAGGGTGATGTCGGTGGCCGGAGTGCAGATGGTTCCGGCCGAGAGTTTTTGCATTGATGAGAGACAATGGGATTGGTTTCTTTTGTTTGTTGGCTCTGTAAAGGGAAGAGAAAAGCATGGCGACATTGTCAATGTGTATTTGGAGCATGAAAAAAAATGGAAAGCTTAATTTGGAAAGTTAATTCCTTGATAAGCATTAAATTTTTGGTTTATTGAACGAGTCCTCGGTGAGAAGGATGTGGAGCTATTTTTGGAAACTAATGAAGCCATGTTTCATCGTCCCCGATATCAGAATCTTTGCCGGTACAAATCCCTTCTCCCGATCTCGATAAACAAATGATAAAAAAGGGTATTTGATAACGAGGGCAGAGTCTACAGCCATTGATGGAATATTGATTCATACATAAAAATTCTGCAGCTAAGAAACCGAAATGAGCAAAGCGAAAGGTTTCCCCGATGCGATACATGACCCTACTGTCCTATAAGTCTCTCGCAACAATTCACTATCCTGCAAAAAGGCTCGTCTTTCCCGGGTTTGTGTTGCTTTATTTCGTCTCTTGGTGCTTAAACGGAGTGAGTTTATTGAATGTCATCGATCCAGTCACCATATATAAGACTGATTTTATCCGGACCTTTCCATTTATGAAGAGTTCTTTGTCCTGGCCTTTGGAGTACAATAGATGTCTTCTGAGAGTGATAAACATCGGAAAGTGGAAGTGGGAGAACCGACGCAGCATCGGGAGGAGCTTTAGAGGGCATTCCTCCTCCCCCTTGCTTCGAGTCGGTAGGAGTAGCACGTGAAGAATCCTTTGTTTCTGCATCAGTGAGGCCAGCTCTATATCGGTGTAATTCTGCATTAACAAGACATACATTCAAATTATCCCTCACTAGCTGCAAAAGCATTTATCTTCCGTATCACTAAGAAACAAAAAATACATCAACGGAGCGAGGAGATACCCCGGAGTTACAAGCATATGCAGGTTAAGTTCATTGTTCTCGCTTACCAATCATTGCATACACAACGAGTAAACAAAATCGCAGCATACTCGTACGAATTGAACAATCGAAAACCATAAAAAGTTTTCATAATCTATTCGAAGAATGGTGAAATTGGTTAAACAATCGACCAATGAACCATACCTGCAGCTCCATGAGCAAAATGGCATTTGTTTCCAAATGGACAGTATCCAGTAAGTTCCCACTTATTACAGATTCTCGTCTTCCAATTCGTCGGTTTCGTATTCGATTCATTCCCACCACCACCACCTCTGCCGGCGCTGCCACCTCCGTACCCTCCGGCCCCCAAGCTTATAGCTACGCTCTCCCGATTCTTCGACTGCTCGTCGTGCAAAAAGGTGCAAGTATCACCATAAGGACACCCTTCCTCCGAGTAAAACTTCTTACAATGCCTTCCTTTATAGGACCTCTGTGTTTCTCCGGCGAAACTCGTGGACCCCAAACAAGGGATTTGGAATTCTTCCCTCGGCGGCTCCGAGGTAACCCCTTTCTCTTCTTCGTGAGCATCCACGATTTCTTGCCAGTTAGGCGGCGGGCGACGGAGCTCCTCCGCGCTGTGAGCGAAGTTACAGTTCGAGATGTAAGGGCAAGTCCCGGCCTTGAACTTGCAACAAAGCTTGGTCTTGAAGAACATTTTGCCTATGGCTCTGGTTCTGGAACCGGAATTCGATTCCTGGGAATTTCGAGGTTTCTTGCTCGGTGGCTGCTCAGACGGGGATTGAGGTTGTCTTTGGTCGTAGCTGGAGTTTGAAGGCGTGTCGGCAGATGTTTCTTGGCCGTACCAAGCACGGTAATCTTCTTCCGTTGCCCAAACCGAAGGATCACTCGAATTCGGGACCCAATTATCAGGTCCATTTGTCTGAATTACATGAACCACGTTCTCTCTACTGTAATCCATGTAGGATGAAAAGGGGAAATTTATTAAGAACCCTAAATTAAGTAAGGACTATGAACCCAGAAGCTAAAATCATATGAAATTTCAAGTTAAAGAGTGAGATTCTAGAGATTTGAGAAATGGGTATCTCAGCACACACCTAAACAAGCTAAATCTGAGCTGAAAATTTCAACCTTTTGAAGGAATACAACAAAAGAAGAAACAAAAAGGTACAACACAACAGATCAAACAAAGATGGAAACAGAAAAAAGGGGGAAATTTTAGTTGAAAGATTTGGAGTTGGATCTACTAAAAAAGAAAAATCGGGACATTTTGGGGATAGAGGAAATATAGAAGAACAATGAACAAATTTAGAGATAGATATAGTTTGAAGAAGAACAAAGAAAGATTTTTTCAGAATTTTTAATAACTTTCTGGAAGAAGATTGAAAATTTGATGAACTCACTCACTCTTCAAATTGGGAGAAGAGAGAAATAGAGCTGACAGTGCTAAAGAAGCCATGCGTAAACTTGTCGTTTACCATTCTTTTCTTCTTTCTTTTGTGTATAGTTTTTGTCCTGTTCTTACCCTTCGAAGTTAACCTCTCTCTCTCTCGTACAACAAGAAAAGTGATTCATTTTCCCCTGCCAATTTTCGTGGAAAATCCAAAGTGCTTTACTTGCATTCTACAACATACACTCGAAGCTATAGTTTAGTGGTGCATCAGCAAATCGACGAACCTCGAGATTATCAGAATTGGCCAATTTATCGGCAAGCATATTACCATCGCGACCCACATGCTGAAATTGGATAATCCATTGTAGTTGATACAGCTCACGGACATATAAAAGGATAGTATGGAATCCTTGTCGTTTCTTGAATTAGCTGAACCGCTCGTTTACTATTCGATTCAACCACCAAACGCCTACAGCCGAGATCCCATGCCAAAAGTAAACCGACATACATACCCCAAAGCTCTGCTTCAATTACCACCGAACAAATACCAACGAACTTCGGAAAACCAGCACACCACCTCTCTGTGTGGTCACGTGTTACACCTCCACACGCGCACGACCATCCACCTCATCTCATGCCCCATCAGTATTATATCCAAAAGAAAACACGGCAACAAAGTTACGACAACACCAACAGGTTCTTATACAACAAATCAATCCCCCACTCTATACAAAATTGTGGGTCTAAATCCCCTATTTTGTGTCTAAAAAATTTCGCATGTACAACCTTGCGAAGCAATCCAATAAGTTCAAGCTCAGTTCTAATATTTTTCTAAAACACTGCCTATTATGTTCCTCCCAAATAAAATAAATACAAGCATTCCAAACTAACTTGAGAAAAAGAACATGAGAGGTTTTACCTTTAAGCGAAGCAACAACTCAACATAGGCCGTCGAGTCCTACACCTTCCAAGCACCCTATCCCAAACACCAGCTGAAAACGAACATTCAAAAAACAAATGATTCCTTGATTCCAACGCCTCCTCCACACAGCACACACAGATCCTCGATAGGCAATCCCATACGACATAACCTATCCTTTTTAGTCAATCGGTCCAAAATCGTCAACCGTGTGATAATAGAATACCGAGGCTCATGCAGCGGGAATCATAATAATTTCTGCCAGGGAACTCTACTCTCACTTACCCTCGTTTCATACTAAATTTCTCTAGTTTTCAAAAGCCTCCACTCTGCACCTATTACTGCAATCAACTCCTTTAGTACCCCCTGAGCGAGAGAACTTTCCTCAAGCTCTAACTAATACAACTATTCGGTTCAAACTCCCAAACATCACGATCTTTTATAACATAGGTCCGCACCCAGGCCACCCACAAAGACCCCTCAATAACAAGGAGTTTTCGCAGCAAATAGACAAAGCAGACCCTATTCCAACAAGTAAGGTTTTGAAGGCCTAACCCACGCTTGGATTTTAAAGTACAAGTCCGACTCCGACTCCAACTCACCCTAACACCAACAGCAGGGATGCCCGCGCCCTTCAAAAAAACCTCATACATAATGACTCCACCCTTCTCACCACAACTTTAGGAACAAGAAGTTGTATGCTCGGAAGACCTTATCTCCTAGATGTGCTATAAAGGTCAACCTCCAAAAAGCTTTCGATAGCTTTAGTCGGGAGTTTATCCTTAAAGTGTTGGAAGCAATGAGGCTCCCTGAAAAGTTCAAAGGTTGGATTCGGATCTGCATAACTTCTCCTAGATTCTCCATTTTGTTTAATGGAAGTTTGGTGGGTTTTTTTTTTGAGGGAGCGAGGGGGTAAGGCAGGGTGATCCGCTATCCCCTACCTTTTCGTTTTGGCCATGAATGTGTTGTAAAAAATGTTGGCAGTGATAAATGGGATATTCCAGTTTCATCCGAAGTGTAGGAAAATTAAGATGACTCATTTGTGTCTTGCGGATGATCTCCTCAATTTCAGCAAGGGCTCTATAGACTCTGTTTTGGGTGTCTGAAGTGTTTTAGATTAGTTTTATAGTATGTATGGTTTGAGGATTAATCTGGCCAAGTGTGAAGTGTTTGCTTATGGTGTTTCGAGGGTTGAATTGGCACGAATTAGTGTGGAAGGTTAAAATTGGTAATTTGTTTAAAAAACTGTAGAAGCAGACTTTGGTATATTCAGAACAGACGACAGCTTATAAACGATGAGGACAGGATGAGGCCATAAATTCAATAAGAAATTCAGTCAAGAAAACACATTCAGACAAAACTCTCCGTTTATTTTTCGACACTGCATATAAGCAATAACCAGAAGCCCCATATTTGCCATGTTTTTTTCCCCAGAAAACTCTACTAATTGTATTCAATGTACACTTAATAATATGAAATCCATGTAGGATGATGATAAATGATCACTCTTTGTTGATAATCACACCGCGAGAAGCCAGGATGGGAGTGGTTTTTGCGGCGTGTTCGGAAGCATTGGCTAGAGCCTGCAACATTCTCAAAATCTCGCTTCGGTCTTCGACGTAGTATTTCGCCTTGCTCGGTCTCTGCCCCACAGTGCAAGCAAACACATCGGCAACTGGGGAGAGACAGGGACCGGTCTTGGCACGCATGATCACCTCGAACATGT